ATTAAGGGATGAAACGGGGGTTGATGGATGGGGAATTTAATTCTCCATTGAACAGTCTTTGTTTCATCCCTTAATATTAATTAGTCGGCGAATAAATCAACTGAAAAACATAAAGTAAACATTGAGTACAAGGAGGACAAAAATCCCCCTCCAAACCTGTCCCTGTCACAGCGGGACTGCTACTGCCGAGTTACCCACGCACCCGACTCACATTTACCGACAATTCGACCGGAACGCCGCCTTTCCCGTGGGGTACCAACTAACTTTTTTGGAGTCGATCAAACCCCCCGATCCGGGCCTCTACTCAGGTCTATCCTCTTTGCGTAAATGATTGATCCTGATGAAATATCGCGTAATCAATCATTGATAGTTATTGATTTGAAAACTACAAACGATTTCGCTTCGATTAAAAAAAAAAATTGAAAAAATATTCATTTTTTATGTTTGTCGGCTAAACACATGGGCGAAATTTGATTAATTTTTTATAATTCAATAAATTATTATCAAACGTTATTAAATGCACTTCAATTATCGGCAAACGATTAGCTATCGATTCAATAAGTGCATTAATTGAAAAATTAATATCGGTCGGCTAAGCCCATGTGAATCATTATTGCCCTATTTGAATTTGGCCACTCTTTACCACAGTTGAATGAACACGAATGCCTATTGGGACCGCTAATTACCGATGGCGGCGCTCGTTTTCACCAATATGGACGATTTTGGCAGAGATTATAATCTCTGATTTTGGCTTCTCATATAGTGTGCGTTTCGTCCGATTTTGGCTTCTCATATAGGGTGCGTTTCGGAATCAACTACCGTAGCTGCAGTAAAGCAAAATTAGGGTTGCAGTACTGCTACTGCTACTACGTCGATTGCGAAACGCGCCCATACACGCTAACACAAGCCCAAATTGGGTTGATACTGCTGTGTGCAGCCCAATATCCGCCATTCATAGGTGGCGTTTTGATATTTAGCGTTTCCAATATTATCGACTAAAGAATAGAAATCGTCGTGCTTCCTTAAATTGACGACGTCAACAGCTCTACAGTCGCCGCAAAAATGGCGGACGCAGCGGCACGACAACTCCAATACGAATACAAAGCCGTAAGTGATTTTGTTATTAAAATATTATCATGAAGCCATCTGTTCATTCCAGACTCTTCATAGTCCAATAATCGATTAATTCATGTAATAGCTTTTATGTTTATGGATTGTTGTTCCACTAGGGAAATATTGATTGTTACAGAGGTTATGTTTGACAGAAAACAATTGTACGACAGCAAACGTTTGATGATAAATAAAGGAGTACATTGGAAATACACATCATTTTTGGAATTGTCTTTTAAGGCACGTGATATTGGGTGTTTTTTTTCAGTTTGATAATCTGGAATTCTCTTCAATTGTTATTCCGTTTTACATAGCCCTGGAGTTGTCAGTTAAATTGCGTGATAAAAATTTGGAAAAAATCATGAATATTCAGTGTCCGTCAAATTACATTTTGCACAAAGATATGTTTTTAAACATTCGTTGTTTATTATATCAAACGAACGCTTTGTTCGCCATTTCAATTATATTGTATATTTTACTACGCTATGCCGTTACGCACCCTCTTGCTAGAAGAGAGCTCTATTTGTATGTTTACTCTCATTAAACAATAAGTAAATAATAATAATAACATTCGTTGTTTATAAATAAATCATTGAAATTTTTTAATCTTTAGGAAACCTTATTTTTTTGCTATGGAATCCATCTCTGATAAAATCCTGAATAGGAATAAATTTGTTATGATTCCGAACAAATGATTTTTACGGCGAAAAATTGATTGTTTATCAATTATTTCCAGAAAATGCCCATAATTTTCAAAAATAAACTCCAAAAGTAAACTTGCTCTTTTTTTTCAAAATTTTAAAATGTTTTCTAACGGTTCAATATCGAGATTCAAATTCAGACCTGCAAGGTTTAAATAATAAAATCATTTTAAAATGGCCGGACACTTGGGGTCAAATGCGGCTCAAATGAAAGCTCTGATGTTCGACGAGAAAAGTAGAAAAGCATTGCACTGGAGAAAAAATGGCCATAGTACTTAGATATGTTTAATAATTTACGGTATCTAATGGCTGTTTGGGGGTCATTCGTCGTCACAGTAGCCAAGCTCGGGCCGTTAGTTAGTTGTCATGATGAATTATCCATTTACAATTTCCTCTCTATCGGACTTATTTCCTAATCTTTATTAAAAACCCTCTTTCAAGATATTTAGTTTTTTTTCTACTTTATTTGACTGTACAATAATAATTTTTAGGGACTCCTGCGTGATGTAAAATCCAATGGAAATTGTGATATATTCTAAGATTATGAAGATGGACAAACAATTTAGAAAACGGAAAGACAATCTATCCAAGCCTTAATAGAATTGATTTTCTCCTGGGCTAATTCTATTACAAGGAATGATTGCAAGAATTTCATTCTTAAGTCGCTGATACCCTATCTTGCTTGCATGAGATATTCATTTATTTGATGGTGAAGTGTTGACATTATCAATTCACTACTTTTGTTGAGAATTCTAGAATGGAATATTGATCACGTGAAATTATGAATATACATATTTCAGCGAAAAATTGTGATATTTTCAAGTGAGGAACTATTACTCAATTGACTAACAGTAATAAATTAATTCTTAAATCGAGATGATAATTTTTTAAAGTGATGATAAAGTATCTATCTTTGCAGGATAATTATTTTCAGCTATTCAATTGACATTCTTTTCCGCTAATTCCAGAATTCTAATCTTGTGCTTCAAGCTGATGTGCGATTGATAGAACGTCGAAGTCGAGATGAAGCCACCGGTGAGGTCATGTCCCTTGTGGGCAAATTGGATGGGACGAGGATGGGTGACAGAGCCCAGAGAACAAAACCTGGAAAAGCTGAAGAGCGTAAAGTCAAGTCAGTAATTTTACTCTATACAATTTGAGATGTCTGTTTCCCCCGAAATTCATGGAAAATTTTAGAAAGTTCAAGAAAGGTCCCGAACGGTACAGAATCCTCTGAAAAGTTTCCGAATCGTCTGGAAAACTCTACAATTTTTCGATGGTGAATATTCCAGAAGACTCTGGAATGTTCTAGAAATCCTTAGGAATTTCGCGATTAATTCAAAAGGGAACGCTTCGGAAAATCATAGAAGATTCTAGAAAAATATAAAAAACTCCAGACCGAAAACTTCATCATCGATACACTCTTCAGGTGCTCCTACAAAATTTTAGAATATTCTAGACTTTTTTAGCATTCACCAGGGTCACCATGTTCATAGAGGTTTACTCCCGTTACCCTTTGTAACATCAAACGGACTTTCGTGAATGTCAAATAAGGGATTTTGACCCTCTTGATCCCCGTAACCTATGTGGCCTGTATGGCCCTAAAGGCTAAGAGACGTGAAATGACCCACCTCATTTTTAGTCGATACGCTGAGGTCAAAAGGTATAAAATAGATGTAAAGTCTTGAAACTTGGGTATGTTATGTATTTTGATGTGCTGAAATCGAATGTGTTTTTTTTTGCTAATAAGTTAGGCCTTCAATAAATATTAGCAATTTAATTGTTTAAATGCATATATTGCCGCCATTTAGTTTCGAATAAAAAAAAGTTTCAAATAAAAAATGGTCTTTGACATCTTACGAATACAACCACGTTCGATTTTTATGAACAAAAAAGTTCCGTAAAAAGACAATGAATGGAGTGTTTCTTTATTTTTAGAAAAAGAACCATAGTGTTATTGTTAATGACTGTTTACGGCACTGCTTATTTGTAAAAAAAAGTTATAACGAATAATCATTGGTTACGTATGCATGTATTAATGATTAAACAAATCATTTTTTATTGAAAATTTATTGTAAAACAAGGTTTTCTTCAAGCCCCTCAGAGAGGCAAACCTCGACAGAGCACGTACATTATTCAAAACGCCAAATCTCTGCCAAAAATGGTTCTTTTTCTAAAAATAAAGAAACACTTCATGCATTGTTTTTTTATGGAACTTTTTTGTTTAAACTTTTTGTATCTCCGAGATTATTTTGGTCATTAATTTTGCATTAGAAGCCCGAACGGGTGAGCCACTGAAAGTCATCTGTCAAGTATAAATTATCATATTTTCTCCAAAAATCAACGGATTTAAAAAAAATCGGACATGGTTGTATTCTTAAAATTCCAAAGACCATTTTTTATTCGAAACTTTTTTTCATACCAATCAAAATGGCGGCAATAAACGCAATTAAACCATTAAATTGTTAATAACTATTGAATGCCTACTATATTCGCAAAATACACATTCGGTTTCAGGACATCAGAATACATAAGATATCCAAGTTTCAAGACTTTACATCGATTTTATACCTTTTGGCCTCAGCGCATGGACTATTTCCCTTTCGGTCAGGTCAGACCGGTTTCCGACAGTTTTCTGCCCTTGACTGAATTTTGTATGCAAAATGACCGTCACAGTTAATCTGTATGAGACCCGAGCCAAACTCATGAAAAATCGTCTATATCCCTGCAAATTGATGGTCATTTTTATTTCGATCATTTTTATTTCGGTCATTTTTTGGGTCATTTTTTGAGGGTTCGATCGGAAAATTTTTTAAGAAAATTGAATTATTATCATTCATTATTCATTATCATCCTTCCCCCATTATTCTTCCGACCAATAGAATTGCGGTATTCGACGTCTCGTGGACCAAGCAGAAAAAAATTATATCAATAATTTTCCGTAGTTTACTAATTTTTCTGTTGTCAAGCAGAATAACAAAAAATTGTCGATTGTGCAACGATGACATCGAATACCACAATTCTATTTTTGTCATTCCGGCCGTAAGGCAGCGTTTCACGGACGCTCCGCGTCTGTGAATCTCTGCCTACGGCCGTCATGACAAAAAATATTGTTCTATTGTTCCCTCGCCTTCGGCTCGTGCTGCAAACCTCATATTCGCCAGAAAAGTTTTTTTTGGCCGTATGACGAACAATATTTTTTTCTGTACTGCTTCTCACGATTTCTCGTCTGGGAATTGGTATTACATACTTCCCAAACTTGAAAACTTGAAAATCACTACAGAAAAATATTGTTCCTGGGCTGTTACGATGGGGTTTTTTTACTCGTGTGGTTGGCCAGTCCTCGCCTACGGCTCGGAGGCCAACGCCACACGAGTAAAAAACCCCATCGCAACAGGCCGGAAAAATACTATTGTCACGACGGCCGTAGGCAGAGAAACGCTGCCTTACGGCCGGAATGACAAAAAGGTAGTTTATGCACTGTTTGTGAGGTTATCGGTTTATGTTTGGAATGCGACAACAGTGAGATTTGTCGAAAATATTGCGTGATCAAGTATTAAATGTCCGTGAATAGTTAACTTCGAAAAGAAAATATTTATTTTTCTCCGAGTGTAACAGGAAATGTTTTCATTCCGTGGAAAAAAATTCTCTAAATTAAGTGACAGTGAAATGCGAACAATTTTGTGTTTATTTAGGAAAAATTAGTAGGAGACGGTAGGATTAAATGGACACTTTGAACCCTTTTCAAAATGTTGATGTCTTATTGAAGTGTTGATGAAATAGAATTTTTTTTTTTTAACTAAAGTACAGTCAGCCCCTTTGTAATAAGCTTAGACTGAGCTCAATTGATAAATTTGTTCCTTGGTTATACATATTGAAACAAGAAGTCAGAAGAGTCCATTCCGCCCAATGTTTCCCTAATATTTTTGAAAACAAAAAAAAACAAAAACAGATGTTTTCAAAAAGAATTCTTTGTGAACATTTTGTTCGACTCTTCCTATAAGGAAATCAATTCATCTCTCCAAAAAATACAATCCACATAGGAATCATCAGAGCAAAATTGAATGAGGAATCAAATCAAGTCAGAAAATTATTAATAGATGATTAAAAATTGAAATTCGGTGGAGACAATAAATCTGAAGTAGAACTGTTTATTTCCCTTCAATTTTTGATTAAAAAAATGTTCCATTTTATGAAAAATGAATGCGTTAAATTCAATTGAAAAGAACAAATTTCACCGGATGTAACGACAGTCCTTGCTTATTTTGAAAAAAATAATGAAATCTGCCTAAAAACACAAAAACAAATGTTTTTGTAAAAAAACTGGGCCAAAAAAAAGTTTTGTTTGATTCCTGCTGGGAAGTCGAAGTTTTTGAAAAATACATAGAAATAAAAAAGGAAGCCAAGTCAGGAATTTTGAATAAATGGTGATAGTGCACAATCAGGTTTCTATAAGAAAAATAGTTCTCACTGGAATAAGTATTCTAAAAAAAATTCCCCATGAAATAAAAAATCAGAAGGAGCAGGACCAACGTTCTTGACGCAGAGTTTTTCAACTCACTGTCTGTATTAATCTAATCTTCCATCCTTTGATCCGCGCCAAGGACGTCGGTCCTGCTCCTACTGATTTTTTTATTTCATTGAGAATTTTTTTAGAATACTTATTCCATTGCGAACTATTTTTCTTACAGAAACCTCATTCTGCACTATCACCATTTATTCAAAATTCCTGACTTGGCTTCCTTTTTTATTTCTATGTATTTTTCAAAAACTTCGACTTCCCAGCAGGAATCAAACAAACTTTTTCGTGGCCCAGTTTTTTTACAAAAACATTTGTTTTTGTGTTTTTATGCATTTTCAATGACAAAATTCCTAGCAATTTCAATAGAACCTAAATCGGACAAAAATTTCCGAAATTGACTGTCCAAATTTATTCGCTCATTTGATGCTTATGGCCAATCGTTATTTTTTTGACCATATGGTCAAATTCTCGACGCTTTAATTACCGGCCATGACGGCGGTCATTGACGGCCATTTGACCGGTCATTTTTACACTCACATCTCTACTAAAGGCCCTAAACCTAATACTTCCTTTCAAAAAATACCCAACGATTGAATCGAGTGTTGACGTTCGGCCAGAAATGACTTTCCGAAAAATTATCTGCATGACTTCTATTTTGCCCTTACGTATTTTATATCCCTAGGTATACTGACACAAGTGAGGCGATTAATGAATTTCGCCCAGCCTGAGTCTAAATCCCATAGATCATTGTATAAAATAATTATGTGAATTTTTTCAGATTTTTTAGGATATTTATGAAGCCAGTGCAAGTATTTCAATTTCATTATGGTAAAATCCACGTAAAAGAGGCAATAGAGTTTGAAATGCGAATAATTTCAGGCATTCACTTACATGTTAATAATATTGAATGTGGAATTTACTCGCAAGTGCCGAAAGATAAAGAAGAGATTTTTTCGAATTTTTCCATTCATTTGTTAGAGAATTGAAAAGTGTGATTTTCACTGAAAATCGGAATTTTGGAAACGTTCTAAGGACAATCGCAATCGATCGTTTCTTTTGAGATTCTAGTACATGATTCTTCGACTATTTGAGTATTTTTCGAAATGAAATGTAGTATTTTCTTTAATATTCAAAGCAAACAGAAAAAAATTGTACAGTCCTGATGATTGATTGCAATTAACTTGAATGCATTATTTTCGCAATTGTTACATTTCTCACATTCAAGGGAGAAAAAGATTATATCAAGAATTTAAATGATAGGAATTAGTCGATTGTGAGATTTTTTTAATTCTAGAATTTTGTTTATCTCAGTATACATAAATTTGGAGAATTTATTCAAAAGTAAAAATATGGAAAGAGTATAGAAGTTCGGTGTAATGGATCTGAATTTCATAAAATAGTATACACGGTGCCAGAAATTAGGTAAACGGATGAACGAAGGCAGGCCTGCATAATATTATCCGGAAAATGAGCAATGCATGGGCCTGACAATCGCTCTACTTTACGTGAGACCATCATTAAAGCCTTTTGGCGTTTCATCGACTATAACGGCTACAAACTGCTAATAGATAAAAAATGTTGTAAAACTTTGATTCCTTTGCAGTGGCTTCCAATTCCTTCTTAAAAGTCAGAAAAAAATCGCATGGGTTTTTCAATAAACGAAAACGCTCAGATTCAGATACAGGAAAGGTACATTTAAGAAATCCCCGTTGAATGTGTCAGTCTACTAGGCATAAATGAAGAGTTTTCTAATTGTAATTTCATTCTCGTTCCTCAGGCGTCAAAAACGTGACGAAGCGCAGTACGATTTCACCCGGATGAAAGGAGCTACCCTCCTCTCAGAAGGTGTAGACGAGATGGTGGGAATAGTCTACCGCCCAAAGACCCAAGAAACCCGTCAAACCTACGAAGTCCTCCTGAGCTTCATCCAAGAGGCCCTCGGCGATCAGCCCCGCGACATTCTTTGCGGTGCAGCCGACGAGGTCCTAGGAGCCCTCAAAAGCGACCGTCAGGATAAAGACAAGAAGAAAGAAACAGAACTTCTCCTGGGGCCCCTCGCAGACGAGCGATTCGCTTTACTAGTGAACCTTGGCAAGAAGATCACAGACTTCGGTAACGAAGAGAAGAACCCAACAAGCGAGGAGAATATCGACGAGACCTACGGCATAAACGTTCAGTTCGAAGAGAGCAGTGAGGAGGACGACGAGGACGTTTACGGAGAGGTCAGGGAGAACGACGACGATGGGGACGAGGGTGAAGAGGCCAACGACGATCGTCTGATTCACGCTGAGAACCTCGGAGGGACAGAAGAAGCCAAGAAGGAGAAAACCCTGCACCCCTTGGACATCGACGCCTACTGGCTCCAGCGAAGACTTAGCAGAATCTACAAGGACGCTGTGGAGTCCCAGGCTCGAGCTGCTCAGGTCCTCAATGTCCTGAAGGACGCCCCAAGTGATCGTCAATGCGAAAACGACCTCGTTGGTCTCCTGGGCTACGACTGCTTCGATTTCATCAAGCAACTGATGAAACAACGCCACATGATCGCGTACTGCACAATGCTAGCCTCATCTCAATCGGAATCAGACCGTCAGAAGATACGTGACAGCATGAAGGATGATCCTGCATTAGCTAAAATTCTTCGACAATTAGACACTGGTAAAAATGATGATGATGGGAACGAAACAATGGAAGCAAGAGCACAGAGAAAAAGGAGAGAGGAGAAGGAAGACACAGGAGGTCCTGGAGGTCAAGTTCAAGGGACCAGGAACATCGTAGACTTGGAGGACCTTGTTTTCACACAGGGCAGCCACTTCATTGCCAACAAAAGGTGTAAGTTGCCCGATAGGAGCTTCAGAAAACAGAGGAAGGGGTATGAAGAGGTGCATGTGCCAGCCCTGAAGCCCAAGCCATTTGGAGAAAATGAGAAACTCCATCCCATCGATCATCTCCCAAAATACGTTCAGCCTGCTTTCGAGGGTTTCAAGACCCTGAATAGAATACAAAGCAGACTTCATAATACAGCTCTGAATAGTGATGAGAATCTGTTGTTGTGTGCCCCAACAGGTGCAGGAAAAACTAATGTTGCTTTGTTGACCATGATGAGGGAGATTGGAAAACACATAAATGACGATGGCACCATCAATGCTGAGGAATTCAAGATAATCTACATAGCTCCAATGCGTTCACTCGTACAAGAGATGACTGGTAATTTTGGGAAACGTCTTTCCAGCTACAACATAACAGTCTCAGAATTGACTGGAGATCACCAACTGACGAGGGAGCAGATAGCTGCCAGTCAGGTGATTGTTTGCACCCCTGAGAAATGGGATGTCATCACGAGGAAGGGTGGGGACAAGACGTTTACGTCTTTAGTGAGGTTAATCATCATTGATGAAATCCATTTGCTTCATGACGAACGAGGACCTGTCCTGGAGGCTCTTGTGGCTAGAACTATCAGGAACATTGAGACGACTCAAGAGGATGTTCGTCTGGTTGGTCTGTCTGCTACTCTTCCTAACTACGAAGACGTAGCTGCTTTTCTGAGAATAAAACCTGAAACTGGATTGTTCTACTTTGACAACAGCTTCAGACCAGTAGCTCTGGAGCAACAGTACATCGGTGTCACTGAGAAGAAGGCTATTAAACGTTTTCAGGTGATGAATGAGATTGTTTACGAGAAGACAATGCTTCATGCAGGTAAGAACCAAGTCTTGATCTTTGTGCATTCGAGAAAAGAAACTGGGAAGACAGCTAGGGCTATCAGAGACATGTGTCTGGAGAAAGACACCTTGGGGGCGTTCTTAAGAGAAGGGTCAGCATCGATGGAAGTCCTCAGGACTGAAGCTGAACAGGTGAAGAATCAAGAGTTGAAGGATTTATTGCCATATGGATTTGCCATTCATCACGCCGGTATGACAAGAGTCGACAGGACTCTAGTGGAAGATTTGTTTGCTGACAGACACATTCAGGTTCTTGTGTCCACTGCAACTCTTGCTTGGGGTGTCAACTTACCAGCTCACACTGTCATCATCAAGGGAACACAAATTTATAATCCTGAGAAGGGACGATGGGTGGAGCTTGGAGCTCTAGATGTCCTCCAGATGCTGGGGCGTGCTGGTAGACCTCAGTATGACACCAAAGGCGAGGGAATACTGATAACAAATCATAGTGAACTACAGTATTACCTTTCACTGCTGAACCAACAACTGCCCATTGAGTCACAGATGATTGGGAAGATGGCTGACATGTTGAATGCTGAGATTGTCCTAGGGACAATTCAGAACATCAGAGATGCTGTCATTTGGTTGGGATACACTTACCTCTTCATAAGAATGCTGAGGGGTCCTAATTTGTATGGGATCAGTGGAGACAAGCTTAAAGAGGATCCACTGCTGGAGCTCCATCGAGCTGATCTCATACATTCTGCTGCTATTCAGCTTGATCGAAGTGGCTTGATCAAATACGACAGGAAATCCGGAAATTTCCAGTCAACTGAACTAGGAAGAATCGCTTCGCATTACTACTGCACCCACGAGACCATGTCCACGTACAATCTGTTGTTAAAGAGAACATTGAGTGAGATTGAATTGTTCAGAGTGTTCTCGCTCTCTGGGGAGTTTAAGAACATCAATGTGCGCGAGGAGGAGAAGTTGGAGCTGCAGAAACTGATGGAAAGGGTTCCAATTCCCATAAAAGAGAGCATTGAAGAACCTAGTGCCAAAGTGAACGTTCTTCTTCAGGCTTACATCTCACAATTGAAGCTCGAGGGCTTTGCATTGATGTCTGACATGGTTTTTGTGACTCAGTCAGCATCTAGGCTGATGAGAGCTATCTTCGAGATTGTTTTGTTCAGAGGGTGGGCACAATTGGCTGACAAGTGTTTGTCATTATGCAAAATGATTGATAGAAGGATGTGGCAGTCTATGACACCTCTTCGTCAATTCAGAAAAATGCCTGAGGAGGTTGTCAAGAGGATCGAGAAGAAGAACTTCCCTTGGGAGAGACTCTATGATCTCGGGCCGAATGAGATTGGCGAGCTTATTCGAATGCCGAAACTTGGAAAAACTATTCACAAGTACATTCATCAGTTCCCTAAATTGGATTTGTCCACTCATATTCAACCCATCACCAGATCAACATTGAGAGTGGAACTAACAATAACCCCGGACTTCCAGTGGGATGACAAGGTCCATGGAGCCTCAGAAGCATTCTGGATCCTTGTGGAAGACGTCGACTCAGAAGTCATCCTCCATCACGAGTTTTTCTTGCTGAAAGCTAAATATGCGAGTGATGAACACTTGATAAAGTTCTTTGTCCCAGTATTCGAGCCTCTTCCACCTCATTATTTTCTGAGGATCGTGTCAGACAGGTGGATTGGGTCAGAGACACAGTTGCCTGTGAGCTTCAGGCATCTGATTCTCCCCGAGAAGAACCTTCCACCAACTGAATTGCTGGATCTCCAACCTCTCCCCATCACAGCTCTCAGGAACCCCAAGTTCGAAAGCCTGTACTCTGATAAATTTCCACAGTTCAACCCCATCCAAACTCAAGTATTCAACGCAGTCTACAATTCAGACGACAATGTCTTCGTGGGTGCACCCACAGGTTCTGGCAAGACGATAATAGCAGAGTTCGCTGTTCTGAGATTACTCTCCCAGAAACCAGACGGCAGATGTGTCTACATGGTGAGCAAGCAGGCCCTTGCAGAGCTAGTTTATACGGATTGGTTGGTCAAATTCAATCATCGCCTGGGCCACAAGATAGTCTTGCTGACAGGTGAGACTGGAACTGATCTGAAGCTCATCGCAAAGGCTCAGATAATTGTGACAACTGCTGACAAGTGGGATGTGCTTTCGCGAAGATGGAAACAACGTAAGAACGTCCAGAACGTTCAACTTTTCATCGTCGACGAGCTGCAGTTGATTGGAGGGGAGGAGGGACCAGTCCTCGAAGTGGCATGTTCACGAGCAAGATACATTGCCCTCCAACTCGAAAGACCAACAAGAATAGTTGCACTGTCAGCTCCACTGGCTGACGCCAAGGACGCAGCAGCTTGGCTGGATGCTCAGGCAGCAGCAACCTTTAACTTCCATCCATCAGTCAGACCAATCCCCCTTGAACTCCACGTCCAGGGGATCAACATCACTCACAACGCCTCTCGACTTGCTGCAATGGCCAAGCCAGTCTACAACGCCATCCTTCGTCATGCTCCCCATAAACCCGTCATCATATTTGTCCCGACAAGAAGACAAGCGAGGCTAACAGCCTTTGATTTGTTAACATTTGCAGCTGCTGAAGGACAGAAGACAAAGTTCTTCCATGCTGAAGAGGCTGATATCAAACCCTTCCTCGATAGGATGTCTGATAAAACGTTAAAGGAGACTCTCTCCCAAGGAGTTGCGTATCTGCACGAAGGACTGTCCAGTGACGATCGTCACTTGGTGGAGCAGTTGTTCGAGAGCGGGGCTATTCAGGTAGCTGTTGCCACTCGAGACCTCTGCTGGGGGTTATCCATCAGTTCACATCTGGTGGTGATTATGGACACTCAGTGTTACAATGGTAAAACTCATGCTTATGAGGACTATCCCATCACGGATGTCCTCCAGATGGTGGGACGAGCCAATCGACCACTTGAAGACGACGACGCTAAATGTGTTCTTCTCTGTCAAAGCTCGAAGAAAGACTTCTTCAAGAAGTTCCTGAATGAACCGTTGCCGGTGGAGTCTCATCTGGATCACAGGCTACATGATCACTTCAATGCTGAGATCGTCACGAAGACAATCGAGAATAAACAGGACGCAGTGGACTACCTCACCTGGACATTCCTGTATCGAAGATTGACGCAGAATCCTAACTATTATGGCCTGCAGGGGGTGACCCACAGACATCTGTCTGATCATTTATCAGAGCTCGTGGAGAATACTCTTGGCGACCTGGAACAGGCCAAGTGTGTGGCCATTGAGGATGACATGGATACTTTGCCACTGAACTTGGGAATGATCGCTGCTTATTACTACATCAACTATGCAACTATCGAGCTGTTCAGTCTGTCCTTGAACAATAAAACGAAGATTCGTGGGCTGTTGGAGATTATCGCAGCAGCTGCTGAGTATGAGAACGTTCCCGTAAGGCAGAGAGAGGAGAATCTCCTGAGGAGTTTGGCTCAGAGACTGCCGCATGCACCACAGGCTCAGAGAATGGCCGATCCCCATGTCAAGGCACAATTGTTGCTTCAGGCTCATTTGTCCAGGATTCAACTTGGTCCAGAGCTACAGAAAGACACGGAATTGGTGCTGAGTAAGGCTATCAGGCTGATTCAGGCCTGTGTTGATGTTCTCAGTTCTTCAGGATGGTTGACGCCTGCTGTTGCTGCCATGGAGCTCGCCCAGATGATGACTCAAGCCATGTGGTCTAAGGATTCCTACCTCAAGCAGTTGCCTCACTTTACTGCTGAGACCATCAAGAGGTGCACTGATAAGGGTGTGGAGAATGTTTTCGATGTTATGGAGCTTGAGGATGAGGACCGGAATAGGCTTCTGCAACTGACTGATGTGCAGATGGCGGATGTTGCTAAATTCTGCAATCGATATCCGAATATTGAGATGTCTTATGAGGTGCAGGATAAGGATAGAGTTTACAGCGGGAGAACTGTCAATGTTATTGTTCAATTGGAACGTGAGGACGATGTCACTGGACCCGTTGTGGCCCCATTCTTCCCACAGCGACGTGAGGAGGGCTGGTGGGTGGTCATTGGGGATCCCAAGACGAATTCATTGCTGTCAATTAAACGACTCACACTACAACAGACTGCAACGGTGAAACTCGATTTTGTTGCACCTGCCCCCGGACAGCATGGGTACACTTTGTATTTTATGAGTGATGCGTACCTTGGGTGCGATCAGGAGTACAAGTTTAATATTAATGTAGGAGAGTATGAGTCGGAAGGAAGCTCAGCCTCCGACTCTGAGTAAGGTGTTTTTTTTATTGAAAGGAGGAATTCTTAAGATGGCTTTTCGCGTCGATTGGGAGAATTTTAGGCTTATGATTAATCAAATGTTTCTTACCGTCGAATTGTGTACAGATATCGTGGAGGAAATGTAATTATTATTAAGAATGAGAATAAACAGATTCCACAAAACAATGTTAAATCGCACCATTCTACCCGGCCGGGATTTGAACTCTGAACCTTTCGCAACTCGCCAAATCAACTCAATCATAGTGAATTGGTATTTGATTACTAATACCAATTCTCATAGAATCAGCAAAAAACTAATAAATCAAGTTTTTAATAGAATTCCAAAAGGAATGCAATAGACTTTTCTGGCTAATGCACTAACTTTTTTATATGCTTCTCATCCGTACGTGTTATTTTCTCCACGCTTTTTTGCAGAAAAATTGTGACACAATACTAATATAACACGATAAAAATCATGTACTGTCCTTCGCCTGAACTAACCGCGGTTCATTGGGGGGGGGGGGATTAGTCATCAAACCCTTTGGATTTCTGGTTCTTTTATTTACTCTCTTTTTCTTCTCTTACTTTCGTGGAATTAATGTAATAAACTTGGATTTTATCAAGACGATTCATTAAACCCCTGTAGAGACATCACTCAGATGTAGCTTCTTCGATACGAGAGATAAACCGAATAAATCAATCATGATGATCTTTTGCTTCCGAATGGAAACATTGGAATCGACCAAATTTAAGTTTTACATTTTTTAGGTTATATCAACCCATTATGATCCAAAAAGTTTAAAATAGTATATTTCGTAGCGAGTGCAAAAAAGTGTTTTTTGGCGAGTGGGAGGTTTATATCACGAGCCGAAGGTGAGTGATATAATCCCACGAGCTAAGAAATGTTTTTTAGCTCGTGAAATTATATCACTCGCCTTCGGCTCGTGCTATAAACCTCTCACTCGCCAAAAAACACTTTTTTGCACTCGTTACGAAATATACCATTTCATCACAATGTGGCGAAAATTGGACTTTTAGGCGGAGCGTGCCGAAAAGTTCACTTTTCGTCACAGCCCGATGAAAATGAAATTTTTAGACCGTGTCCGTATCCCCTCCCCCGTTCATTGAGAATAAAGAACGGGGCAAAATGGGTTCGTTATTAACTTTTGAAAATTAAGCCTCCCCCCCCATTCATTGAGAAAAAACAACGGGGCAAAACGGGTACGTTACTAATTTTCAAAATTTTCCCCCGCTCCCGCGATCTTTATTCATTAGGAAAAAAAAACAATGGGGCAAAATAGGTTTGTTACTAATTTTTCAAAATTAATATTCTCTCTACCCCTTCCCCCCCCTATTGAGTGAGAAACAAAACAACAAGACCAAATGGGTTCGTTACTAATTTTCAAAATTCCCCCCCCCCTCCGCCACTCCATCTTTCTTCATTAAGAAAAAATAACAATGGGGTAAAATGAGTTTGTTACTAATTTTTCAAGTTGTAACTCACCCCCTCCCTGCATTGAAAAGAAAACAATGGGGCAGAATTCCCCCCCCCCCACACTCCATCTTTATTCATTAAGAAAGAAAACCATGGGGCAAAATGGGTTTGTTTCTAATTTTTCCAAATTAATGCTAAATTTTTCTACAACAAACAAATTATTCAACAAATCGAAATTTAGCTTCTGCCATTCGATAGGATCATTGAAGTATTTTCAGTAAAAATTTCAAAATTTAATGGAAAATTTAAAAACATATTTACCGGAATTTTCCTGATTTCTTTCAATTTTCAGGGAATAACTGAACTGAAATTCACAGTTCACTTCAATTTTTCCATCATGAAATTTTGAATTTTCAATGACCAAATTCCTTGAAATTTCAGTAGAACTAAAATGCGATGAAAATTTCCGAAAAGTATACGGGAAATATTGACCAAAAATTTTCAACAGTGTATTTTAAAAAAACGTGAATTTGTGTAATCTAACAGTAATTTTGATAATTCATTATATTCTTATCATCCAATTATTTAAAAAATTGTTGGTTATTCGTGAAATTCAGCCCTTCCATTACAGAATGTCATAAAACTAATAGCAATTACACATGTCACAAGTACTCACGATTTTATTGACCACAACGGGTAGTATGAAGGGTACAAATTTGTTGCGCATCCCCCTTAATAAAACATCCATCGAGAAAAGAGGTAAAATGGAGCGCAAATAAAGTAACATTTTATTATACAACAAAGCCTATATCTGTTTGCACTATTTGACATTCAATTTTAGTACCTTAAATAACTCCACAAAAACCAAAACCATGGACTAGAAAAGAACCAAAACTTTCGAGATTTATAATCCGTTTCAATCTGATCGATTAAACGAATTGATGTTCATCAAAAACTATTTTTTATCGTCATTTTTGGATCCTCAAACATTTGTGTCAATCCGTAGCGTCACAGAGACACTAATTCTCATACCTTTCCCGGTAAAATCCAGACCACAAACGATATTCCTTCACCACCACTTGAAACGATCAATCAAAAGACAAGAATCAACACGCAACAATGTATACTCACATTTTATTAGTTTTATCTCGTTCTTTTGTTTTATAAACAACTTTTGAATTCAAACGGTTTTTTCGGAGGCCGTTCGGCGCCATGAACTATATATGCGGTCATTTTCAGAAAGAGATTGAAATACAGTAGGTAAAGTAGAGTGACAGCTCCGAAAAGGGCTCTGCCAGAGATAATAGGGGAGATCGCTCAGGCTTATGGGAACTGTTCAAACAGAATTACATAGCGGTGGCGCGCATGAACTAATCGAGAGGCCGGCTCTGTGGGTAAAGAAATTTTCATCTATTACCATGGAAACAATCGATAACAGGGAAGCGTTCCCAATCTTAAATCCAACATGAAACCTCCTCTGCATTCGCTCATCCGCTTGATTATCCCATTTTCGTTCATACAACTTCTTATTGTCTTAATATGTAAATTAGTTGATCATAAAGGAGAGGGAGAGAAGGAATTATGAAGTCTTGAGCGAAAGAGGATCATTTATTTGAATTTCTATATAACTAGATCTTTAATAAAAAAAAAATACGAGCAATTCATCTTATTCACATTTATTACATATTTTGTCAGTGATACAAAGGTAATGAATGAATTTCAAATTATTTTGATGAGAAATATATTCAATATTTGTGAGAGATTATATCTCAACAAATCTCATACACATAATGGGATTAAATCAATAATAATAGATTAACGAATGAGACTTTTCGCAGATTATTGCGATATTTAAATAAATGATTTGCCTTCTTCAGTGACCATAAAAAATTGTCTCCAATCGACAATATCTCCCGATGGAATGGACCGATGTGAATGAATCAATTGATACTCAAGTATCAATTTGAATCTTTAGAAAATTAATCGAGAGTGAAAAAAAATCAGGGAATTTCACTCTGCCATTATGGAGTTATTGACGAGTGAAGTTTATTCACTCTACTCTGACATTTCTCTATTGTCTGTATTTGCCGAGAAAAAAAAACGTTGTTCCTAGGAATCGATGTCTTTTTTAGGGAGCTGCATTTCTGAAATACAATGAGCAAGCAATGTTAAAATTAAGTCATTTTGTAAAAAATTTCTAGTGACATGATCCTGAAAATCAAAGGAATGTCTTGAATTCAGGAATGATGTCTGTAGGTTTCAGTAATATTTTCGCGGAAATTCCGGGAACACTTATTGGGAATTTTTACAGCGTTGCCGTAATACGGAAATTTCAAGGAATTTCGTCATTGCAAATTAAAAGTTTCTATAAATTTCAGTCCAATTATATGTGTACGTCCACGTGAAAAGGGCCCACTTTGTCGCCTCTAATTTTCGAGATATTCACGTTTTTCTCTC